GGGGGGGACCAACTTGGTAAGTTGTTGCCTGGGGGCTTGCCTAGTTGTCACGAGGTGCCACGTGTCGCAACTTCACTAGAGGGCCAAATCTGCCCTCATCACAACCTACTTAACTAAGTTGTCTCTCAAACTCTGCTCTCTCTACAATTGGATCTATAGATGGGCCACAAAACATTAAGGAAATGCTGGTTTCCTTTGAGAATATAGAGTAAGAAATGAACACTTGAACAACAACTAAGTCACCACTAAATAGAGCCGAAACCGACCTAAGCCGACTCAAATCGATCATGTCAGTTTTGCTTAACACAAGGTCGATTTCGATTTCAATTTCAGATAACCCAAACAGATCAAATCGGTTAAAAAAACATCAATAAACCGATCCAACCCGACCCGTGAACAACCCCATGGCATCTACTTCAACCATGTGCTGAACCGTTATTCTCCCTTTGAATTTTCAATAGACCCCTGCCTGTGCCCTGTGGATGGACATCTAAGGATTAAAGAGTCCGACTCTCGTCTTCAATCTTCATGATTTTCAGACTACGCCTTACACGTGAGTGTGGAGGTGCACTTAGGCATGCAGGCCCACGGAGTGATGGTTGGTTGATTGTTTGGTAGGTCACATGATGCAGCATTAACCCATTCATCTGGATCTGGGTTTCTTTTCAATTTCATGATTTCCATTCCAGCCGACAAGCCCCCGGCTTATATATTAAATTAATTAACTAACAAAAAACACAAGGGGTATGAGTGGAGTGGAACTAGCTAGTTACGTTGGAGTTCCACCTAAAATTCAGTTCCATTAATGCATGCCACCACTTGTATATGTATCAAATTCCAAAACATTCTATTTCCTCATTTCCATAAATAGATGAATTATTTATTTCTATATGATAGGTGATGTGCATCACAGCCACCGCCATGCACCATGATGGATTCATCGGATACATTGAATTGAAAGTTGAAACCAAATAAAAATTAGGGCAAACACCCTCTGACTCTGATAGTCTGATGCACCTAGCTACTTGAAAGATGATCTAAACGGATCATGATCGAGTCAGTCCCTAGCTACCCTAATGGCTTTGGCCTACTGTCTGTTACGTCTCTCTTACATATATATATATATATATATATATATAAAGGAAGGATGAGTTTCAATAAGTTTCAACGCTTTAAAGTTCAAGGGCACTTGGGTTTGCCCTTGTTGTTCACCTTGTCTCTGTAGCAGGGGCACTCGTGCTTGTTTCCATAGGTCCCAGAAGGAACGCATTTGCAATCCTTACAGCATATCATGCAGTATTTGGTGCACCGATCCACATACCCCGCCTTGCTACACCTCGCATTGCACTTTGTACTACAGTCCTCTATTCCAACCAAAAGCCAGTAAAACACCCACATAAATGATAAATCAATCACCACATTCCAACCACGTTAACCAAAACCACACAATAAATATATATAAATTCTTACTTGATAATAATGCATCTTCGGCGGGAGGTGGAGCACCCTGGGCGGTGGCCTCAATAAAAGAAGAGCTCAGGATGAGCGACACAAGTAGAATAACTGCAAATCCGATGACCTTCATTCTTCTTTCTACCTTTTCAATTCGATATATTATGGAGAGCAAGTAAGTTGAGATATATAGACCAGCAGAGAGGAGAGGAGAGGAGAAGCAGAAGCAGTGCTGTGAGCGAGTGGATACTGGGTAGTGTAAGAATGAAAAGCTTGAGTGTGCATTTATAGACCGCCAACGCCAAGTGAAGAAAAGGACGCAGGCCAACTGGGGAAGTAAGTAGTGGAGTACGAATTGCAGTAATAATAATAAAAATAAGCAAAGTAAAGAAAAAATAAATAAATAAATGCATAGGCCAGCAATATACAGTCTGTCAGGTCTTTTGGTTGGGTATCCAGAATGGGATTACGCGGTTTCTGCTGGCGAGAAGGTTGATCGCAGCTTCCTCTCTAATCTCTAAGGGAAAGGGGATGGGCTACCCGCTGCTGTGTAGCCTCCTCGTGAAGCGGAAAAAAAAAAAATAATAATATAAGAAGCGTTTGGCAAAAGAGCAAAGGGGGTGGTTTATTTAAAATTTGAAAGGATTTATATATAAGTGCGTGTGGGACTCGGTCAATTTTAATCTCGATAAGGTTGAGGGAGATAAAACTTCAAAGTATCACACTATCACCTAGCTCAAAAACGAAAATTACTTTTCAGTCCTTCACGCCAAGAGGCAAGAGACATGAATGCTCATAACGTGCCATTTCACGTGAGTTCTCGGGTCTAGAAGTTTCCATGCTGAGACTACCACCAAATAATAAAATACTAATCAAGTAAACCCACCATGCGATTGAATGATTCTATTAGAGAGAAAGAATGAGGGAGAAGAGAATGATTCTATTAGAGGTTTCTAATAATGATAGATATTATTAAAGAAAATTAAAATTTAAGAGAATCTTTTTATTTGTTAGTGACTTGACTTCTAATATTTTTAATAAATTTAATTTAAAAAATAATAAGCATATGTATAAAAAATAAGAATAGAAAGAGGTATGAATGTGCACCGAGGTGAGAGAGTTCTTGGTCTCCCTTTTTTAGCTCTCTTGGTCTCCCTCTTTATTCTATTATATTTAATTTATATATAGATATAAACATTTACTCTTTCAAAAGAAATGTTGGTTCTATGCATTCTAAGTCATTTGATATCAAGGTTTAAAATATCAATCATGATTTTTAAAACTGGATCGAACTGAAAAATCGGTGACCAGTTTTTGTTTTTCCCAAAACCAAATTTTCTCTAAAAGCTGTTGATTTTGGTTAACAAACTACTGATTGTTCAAATGATTTTGACTATTTTTTATTTTTTTGTCAGAACAGAACGACCATTCGGTTTGAACGATCGGACCATTTAACCCGGTAACTGAATCCCTAACTGATTCGGTCTCCGAGTCAGTTTTAAAAACCATTATATCAATAGGACTGAGTAAGGTGAATTGTATCACGCCTTTGATCCCCTACTAAAAATTTTGGACGACATGATTTGAACCCGTAGCCAAAAAAAAAGGAAAATAACAAAGAAAAACTTGGCTCCGTCTTTATTTATTCAATTATTGTTTTTAACTAAAATATCAAATTTGATATTTCAACTATTAATATTAAATATTAGAGGTGCATTTTAAAGAGGCTCAAGTTAAGTTTTTATTAAAATTTAAATGGACCCAACCCAAAGTGAGGCAGAAGCAAGGTGACACCCAAACTCGGACCAATCACAGTGGCACCCAAGAGACAACAATGGCATCGAACAAAACTTTTATACTTTATTTTTTTTTATTGAACATGTCATTAAGTAGGCTGTACCGTAAGGTCCTTGATGGCTGAATGATATGTTGCGTTGATCACTATACCTAAGTTAAATTTTCAATGGGCATGAAGCCATGAATCCTAACCCAAGCCCGATATAATTGAAAATGTTCAAGTTAAACAACCTTGACTCATAACACTACCCGAGTACTTCTAATTATACTAACCAATAACCGTGTATGAATACCTGTTACAAAGTGATGAAGGAAGATTTGATTTGATCTCTTGACCACTCAATACATGGCAGAGGTAACAGCTCGGCACGGCAGTACGCTTAAGGCACGAGTTCTGAGAGGAGGAACCAGCGGTCCGAGCTCTCCAAAAGAAGTCCAAACTCTCTCTTTGACCTCGAACCTTACGATGACCGTAAAGGGCAACAACCCGAACTGGCAGGCCCCGGGGCAGTTCGGGCCACACCTCTATCCGAACTCAAGACTTCACCTCGCACACCACTCCAGCACTTCGTCTCCAGAACGCCAAACTGAACAACCGTACCTGACTTGACACCAAAGGAGTCTGTATCCTGAGGCGGCGCACCTGACTGACTTAGGATCTGACACTTGACAGCCGCACTTCAACGGCCACCTGCCACCACCACCTCCAGTCACAGAGACGGCTCCGACAAAGAGAGCAGTGGCGGTTGTCTGCCCCAACAGAGATGATGACACCCAAACTGGCAGAAGTGCAGAGGTAATGATACTCGACCTGACAGGAGCTTGGGAGTGAATGCGCGAAGTGGTTATAAAAGGCTCTCTTCCCCTCCAAGAAGGAGGGATGTGATAACTTTGCGTCATCTACTTCTTTATCTTGCCTTTGAGGAAATACTAACTTGAGCTTCGGAGCACTCTCACCGGGTTCCTCCCCGAAGATTACTTGCTTTCTTCTCCGTTTCAAGCACCTTTTGCTCCAGCCGGAGGCAAGATCGTTAACAGCTAGGATCGGCCGGATTGCGCTCCATCAATTGGCGTCGTTTGTGGGCATACGCTTCTAAAAGCCTCCCTCTAAAACTCTCATAACCCCTTTTTTCCAAGAAACCCCAACACTCATGGCTTCTTCCAGCAATGTCGGACGTAGCACAGAGATGAACGCCACAGGGGAACAACTTCAAGTCCCCGTGGTGTGCATCAGACAGTTCACCATCCCCCTTTCAATGGATGGGATCCCGGCCTGAATGCGCCACGAACAGTGGTGCCCGTGAACCTTCCCGCCATGAACGTCCCCCTTCCTCGACCTGTCAAGACAACCTTTACCGAACCAACTGTTGTCCCCCTGGCGACTAGCCAAAACTAATTTGATGACTTGATGCAGTGCATGCGGGCAATGCAAGCCCAAATGCAGCAGATCCAGCAGCATCAACTCCAACAGCACCAAGTACTGCACCACATCTCTCAGTATCACTATCAGCAGTAGTTCCCCCAACTGCCTCTGAACCAACCACAGCTTCCACCTCGGCACCCCGCTCCAAAGCCGGTTAAGCCCTCCCCTCAGGGCGGACGCAATCACCGAGGGGAAGCCTCCCAACTTCAGAACCCCCCAAGAGCCAGGCCTCATCCCCGGGCCGGGGGGAAAGAAAAATCACCCCCGCCTCGTAGCTCGCCGGCAGGTCGGGAACCTCGCCCGCCAAGTCAGCACCTCGGCACTCTAAGTCTGGGCTCCCGCCCATAGAGAACCGATTCAGCGTCCTAGCGGCGGACTACGAATAGTCCGGGGCCATCAAGCTCGACAACACAGAGGCCAGCAGCGCTAGTACCAGGCCCACCCAACAATGAAGACGACGGCGAAGTCGCCGAACTGCCACCCGTGTCCTGCCCGAGCTCCAAGGTAAATAAGAGACAATCTCGGACGGGGTAAAAGCTGCCCCTATTCTCTCAGTCTCTTCCCCCCTCTCATCAGAACTCCTTGCAGTCCCCATGCCCAGAGATTTCAATCTCCCCCCTTTAGACAAGTATGATGGGTCCTTCGACCCCAACGACAACGTCGATGCCTTCCAGTCCCAAATACACCTAGCAAGGGCCAATGAATCATGCATGTGTGTGGCCTTCACTACCACCTTCAGAGGGGTGGCCCGCACCTGGTACAGGAACCTGGCCCCCAGATCAATAAGAAGTTGGACCCAGTTCGTGCAGGTCTTCACCGCGCACTTCGTTATCAGCAAGCGGTGCCCCAGAACCAAGGAGAGCATCTTCGGAGTTGTCCAGAGGAAAGAGAGTCCATCCGGGGCTACATCAAGCGGTTCAATGATCCGTGCTTGCAGATACCGCGACTGGACCCCGCGGTGCAGCTCGCGGCAGCCAAGAGGGGAGTGACACACAAGGAGTTCAAGTGGCACATGGTAGTTAACCAGCCCGCAATCGTAGCTGAATTCCTCAAGCTCGCGGATAAATTAATGAGAACAGAGGAGGAGATCAACCAAAGGACCGAAAGTGGGATCAAGAAAAAGAAGAGGGAAGGCGAGCCCTCTAACCCAGATGACAGAAGAAGGAAAGATCCAGCCCGGGAGATGAAGCCGAGCCAGCCGTTCCAAGCTCCCTTAGCAGCTCGGACGGACTACACACCCTTAAACGCGAAGCGGGCTGAGACCTTGATGACGATCAAAGACGCCCCGTATGTAAAATGGCCACCTCACCTAAAAGGGAACCCAACCGAAAGGAACAAAAATTTGTACTGCAGTTTCCATAGAGACCACGGTCATAGTACCGAACATTGTAATAATCTCCGGGATGAGATAAAGGGGCTCATCCGTCGCGGGTACTTGAGAAATTTTGTACAGCATAATAATAATAATTATAAGATAGGTCAGCTAGGGGAGCATGGTAAGGATGCCCCCGAGTCCAGCAGCAGGTCGGCCGAACTGTCGCAAAGACAGCCCCCAGAAGAGAGGCCAGTTCGGGGAACCATCCATGTGATAGTGGGAGGTTCGATGGTAGCGGGTTGTACTTCAGCAGCGGCCCGTGCGTTAGTTTGCGAAGCTGCCCGAGAAGAACATAACCCTCCGAAGAGGTCGAAGACGGAGGAACCGATTTTCTTCACGGAAGACGATGCGTGAGGGGTCCACTATCCCCACGATGATGCGCTTGTCATAAAACTAAGGATCAACGACTTCGAAGTAAGGCGCGTACCTGTTGATTCAAGTAGCTCGGCGGACATTCTCTTCAAGTCGGCGTTTGACCAGCTTCAGTTGCAGAGAAGCGAGTTGAAGCCCGCAAACACTCCTCTGGTGGGCTTCAGCGGAGAGGAAGTCAGGCCCCTCGAAAAAATAATAGTACCTGTGGAAGTCGGCACATGGCCCTGTGCGGTCAGACTCA